GTGTGAGGAAGGCTGGGGGGGGGGGGGTCGCGCCTCTGCGTGTGAGGAAGGCTGGGGGGGGGGGGGGGGTCGCGCCTCTGCGTGTGAGGAAGGCTGGGGGGGGGGGGGGTCGCGCCTCTGCGTGTGAGGAAGGCTTGGGGGGGGGGGGGGGGTCGCGCCTCTGCGTGTGAGGAAGGCTGGGGGGGTCCCCGCCTCTGCGTGTGCGCAGGTTGGGAAAACTCGTTGCGCGGGGTACCATTAATTAATGACTCCTTCACGCATCACCAAATGCAGCAAGAGTCAGGGACTGCTTTTCCTGCATTTTTGCAGCTGGAGTCGTCCACTTACAATGAATGAGATGTCTACGTGCAGAGCGCAGGTCACACAAGTGTCAACCTTAAAGGGTAACTCCACTTTCATGTTAAAAAAAATGTAGCCAATAAGTAGGAAAAAAAAAAAGTAATGTAGAATACAATTGCTACACAAGTCGTACTGTAAGGCTCCATTCACACTGATGTGACTTGTCATGCGACTTGGGACACATAGGGGGTTATTTATTAGAATTGAAGAGTGCAAAATCCAGTGTACTTCTGCATAGAAACCAGTCAGCTTCCCGATTTTATTGCTGAAGCTTAATTGAACAAGAGGAATTTAAAGCTGATTGGCTACCATGCACAGCTGCACAAGATTCTGAGCGCTCCAGTTTTAGTAACTCTCCCTCAAAGTCACATGACAAGTTGCAGCCCTTGTATTTCAATGGAAGACATTCAAATCTATGCAACATAAAAAAAAAAGACTCCTTCACTACTTTGATGCAAGTGCCATGGAATGCAATGTAAACTCATGAAAGGTAATGTCAATGCGACAGTTGTGCCACAGTCAAAGCCAACATCACATCCAAGTTGCACCCATCCAAAGTTGCATCAGTCGCAATATAAAGTTGCAATTGAAATTGCATGACTGTGGAGTCAGACAAGTGTAAATGGAGCCTTTTAAAGTGATACTAAACATACAATGCACAAAGATCACTGGCTATCCCGCACTACCCGTCTGCTAAATATATTTACACACCGGGTGCGACTTGCCATGTGATTTGCAAATCGCATGGAAAGTCGCACCCTATTGTCCGCAATTAAAGCGGTCATATAGGTGTGATTCCCACTTGGTTGGAGCCGCATCGATTTCTAAAGTAGTGCATGCACTACTTCAGGTGCGACTTGCATAGACATCTGTGTCTTGCAAGCCACAGATGTCTTGTAAGTCGCACCTCAAGCTGGAATGATATCTGACTTTGAAATCGTGCGACTTCACTGGGGTGCTAATGTGTAAAAAAACTAAACAAGAGATGTGACAAAAAAATTGTGGATGCATACAATGTTTCATTTCCATTATCCCGTCTGTTTATGTATAGAGATCATGTTGCTGTATTTACAGGGGAACTAATCCCTCCTAGCCTTTTCAGCCAAGGAAGCAGCCATCAAAAGCCTCGTACACGTGATGAGAATATCGGACGCATGATCAGAATTTTTTTTTGGCATGCTAGTCTCTTACTAGCGGTACATAAGACTTCTAAAACAGAATACAGCTTCCTGTGATGACGTAATGTATTCTTTCATTTGCGAGCATGCGCAGTCTTGGTCACTCAGTTTTCTAATGGATGAATTAAACAAAAATCATTTGTTCTGTTATTGTACGAGAAATATTTTTGTGCTTGTCCCTTCGGATAATTTCGCATGAACTGTCATGATCGGCTCACAAAAGCTGTGTACGAACGATCAGATTACGATGGCTCCCAAGCGGTATTTTTCGTCTGATTTTCTCATCGAGTATACTAGGTTTAGCCTCGGTTTGATCTGTAACTGCCACAATGCTGCATATGTGATCAGTTACGACACCGGCCATTTGATGATTTGACAGGTTGGTTGAGAGGACAAGCAAATGTGACAGTTACATTGCCGGCACGCCAGGAATTTAACTGTTTTTTTGAAACTGTTAAAGTGTTTTTAAACCCTTACATATACCCAGTGAAGTGACCGGCCTCAGGCGATACAGAGATGAAACAAATCCTCCTATGTATGTTGTACCTGTTTATGTGCGATCTTCTCTACATCAAGGTCCAGAATTTATATAGCTTGTGTGAGCTTTCAGAAAAAAGGGGCAGGGAGCTGAAATTACACTCTGAAGAGCTCACTGAGGAGAGCTCTGAGAGCTCATTGAGGGGAAGAGGCGCACACCCCCCCCACCACACTGCTCACATGAACAGGGCTGAGGCTGGCAATCTGCTGCAGGTTCCTCCCTATCACCATTTTTCTCTTGGTGTCAGGAAAACCTCTCAGAAGTGATTCATGCTGATAGCAGAAGCATCAGAGAGAAATGACACCAAGTGCTCTTAATTGAGACAAGAACACACTATAGAGGGATATGCTTTGTTCATATTTCATGTCTGAGGTTTACAAGCACTTTAATATAATGGCCAGTACACACCAGAAATCTCACAGGAATTCTGTTGCCCATTCCTTTACAGCTATGGCATGTGTACACCCCTAGCGGCTGCCTTTGAATTTTAAGGGGGAGTGGCTAGGGGTGGGGGTGAGGGAATGCAGCTTAGCCGTGTGTTTGTATCACCCCCCCCCCCCCCCTTCCACAACCACATGTGTAAATGAAGCCTAAGGGTTATTTACTTCTAAAGGGATGCAGACACTGCAACTTCACAGCACATGGTCAGGCAAAGAGCTATTCCTGCAGTCCAGAAAGGGGTAACAGTCTGAGACAATTTTGGTGAAATATCCTATTCCTTCTAGTCCAGAAAGGGGTAACAATCTGCGACAGTTTTGGTGAAATATCTGCAATGTACATAGATCACCCAGAGGGGTTTTTGTTTTTCCTCTCTCAAATACTCTTTAAATGAGAACCTGTCATCATTGAGGTGTACGTGAAATGACATTAATAGGCAATATGTGCTGTTAGTATTATAACTGAGCACTGTGGTATTTAACTTAACTGCTATCACAAGGGGATAACGACCAAGCTTGATGAGCTGGTTCTGTGGCTACAGTAGTAGTATTGATCGCAGAGGAGATTGGGGAATGAATGTAATTAAACCCAAACTTTAAAAGTGGTTGTAAACGTTCATTTTTTTTTTTTATTATTAGAAAAACTAACATGGTATACCTGCTGGCTACCTGCTCTGTGTAATGGTTTTGCATAGAGCAGCCCGATCCTCTTCTTCTTGGGTCCCCCGCCAGCGCTCCTCCCCCTGCTGAGTGCCCACCATAGCAAGCTCTGTACATCGCTGGATCAGGCTCAGGTAAGTATCGGGGGCTGCATTCTGAAGGTTTTTTTTACCTTAATGCAGAGAATTCATGAAGAAAAAAGACCTTCAGCCTTTAGAACCACTTTCACATCACATTCCAACACTTAAATGTGTTCTTGTTTGGTATTCCATATCGTTTTAGTCACCCAAGTTGGCACAGATTCCTTTTTTAATCCCTAATAGCAGTTCTGTATTTGAGGTGGCTCCTATTACTAGTGCTGTGTACAGAGCCCCCACATGGACTCATCATGCACAGAAGCATCCAGCTACTCTGTGTCTACACACACAGGCAGCACAGAGAGGCAGTATCGGTGTCCTGTGTACTGTCCATCTCTCCGCCAGCCTGCAGTGAGTGACACAGCAGTACATTAGGCAGAGCAACCAGAAAAAAATCTTGCTAATGTGTGTAAAGGACAATGGGAGTTGTAGTCCAGCCGGCATGTGAGCATTTCTGGATGGGAAGCAAGCGAAAAGGTGCACGGCGTTGCTGGAGCTGCACAGTAACAGTATTCAACTGATTGTTTATTGGCATTGTTGAACAGAACTGCTGGTACATTGTTATCTGAATATTCATTTGGCTCTGTGCATGGAGGAGAGGCTAATCACATGAATGAAACAGGTCATGTGATTGAGCTTCCCTTTTTTACATTATGAATTTTTTTTTTTTTATACACATTATGCATGACACTGTACTTGATCCAGGTCTCCATAATGCCCCCCCCCCCCCCCCCCCCCCCCCCATGACTGTAGGTGGGGGATCCTATCCACACACCCGCTGTCACATTTTTAAAACTGCACTGCTGTGTGGGGCTCCACCCAACCAGCCACGTCATTTGAGTCCTGTGAATGAATGGACTACAGGTCCCATATCCACCGCTGCAGAACCACTTGTAGTTTGAACGTGGTGTCACTGCGCTGTTTAGTATGCTCATGGTTTGTTCATTCTTCCTCTAGCTTTGTAAGCGCTCGTAGGGGGATTCAGGCACAAAGCTAGAGGAGCCAGACATTGCACCAATGATTTGCTAATCACGGGTGCAATGCTTTTCATATTCCTGTGTAAAAAAAATAGAGATGAACTGAGCTAGGAGTGCCCGCGGGGAACCTGAGAAGAGGAGGATCAGGACTGCTCTGTGCAAAACCATTGCACAGAGCAAATAAGTATCCAAATTTGTTATTTTTGTAAAAACAAGTTACCTTTTAGAAAAACTTTATAATCTCTGCTTTTATTTTTTGGTTGTCTGTGTCCCAATTTTAGGATATATCTCCTCATTGCTTGTCTGACAGGTTTCAGAGAGAACAAAAAATGATATAAATCACCAGATATGCCCCCTGTACAGTTATGACTACTGTGCTCCAATCAAGGTCCAATATAAATGCAGCTTCCGAGCTTTTGCTGATCTCCAAAACTCTGGCACTTTATTAGGCAGTTGTGAACAATTCAAATGTCCTTTTCCTTTCCTTTTCATTCCATTCCTTATTGACCAGTAAGCTATGTAGTTAATTGTCTTAGAGGGTTAGAATCTGCAGGTTAGATAAACTAAGTTGACAGGCAGGCACCTGAGCCACCTTACAATAGAAGGTGAGCTCACAGCTTTCCTTTCAAAAAAACAGAACAAAAAAAAAAAAAAAAACAATTCTTTGTTTTACCTATACAATTTTTTGTTTTTCTACAGATGAATCTAAGTTTTCCCCTGGCTCTAGTGGGACAATGCAATCCAAGAAAACTCTACAAAGCAAAACCCACTTCAGGACCATTGCCCCAAAAGTTGCACCAAAGGTTGTTTCCACCTGTCCTCCCTCTTTCTCGCCCTCTGTGGGAGACATCACTGCCTCTAATGCAAAACCCTTGATTATGCAAACTCAAAACTATGCTTTAATGAAAGTCACTGGCCAAGATGGCACTTTTTCTTTAGTAGCTTTACCGCAAGTCTCTCCATCAATGGGAGGACAAGTCATTCAAACTACTGGCATACCTTTGCAGGAAAATCTTAAATTGCCCATTCCAAGGTACCAGCCTAATCGAGAGAAGAAATCATTGTACAAAAAGTCAAGGGTACTAAACAAAAATTTAGAAAAATCTGCAGTAGGTAAAATTGAAGACAATAAGGAGAGCATTATGAAACCAGACCCCAAAGTAGAGGCTTCAGCACCAAAACTTGCTTCTGTGACCACAGCTGAAGAAGCTGTCTCTGAAAGCAGCGTGTTTCCAAGTGGTGGAGCACAAGTTGCTAATGTAACAAATTCAGAGCTGCCATGCATTGATAAAGCAGACCCTTCAATGTTACCTGCAACTAGTCCTGCAAAGCTCAGTACTGCCCTTGAAAAGAAAGCTGTCCTTGGAGACAGTAGGACTCCAGTGAAATGTAAAAATGTCATAGTGACTGATTCAACCACTCCTGCAGCAGTTCTATCTCCTGTGGTTTTTGGCAGTCCAGTTCATCTCCTGTCATCTGTGCCGAGGGGAAAACTGCCCATCTTGCCTTACTCAAAAATCAAGAAATCAATTATTTCTAATTGTAAACAGCCAGCGGGCCCTTCCAAGTCACCACAGCCAAATGTAGTGCAGAGTGGAATGCAGGCATCTGCAAGTGATGTCAAGGCTTCTCCATCAGTCAGTATATCACAAGTCTCCACAATGGGTGGTCCATACAAACCAGGCCCCAAATTTGGTGGTGATTTAAACCAACAGAATGGTGTGCCAAGTAAGAAAAGAGGGAAAAAACGAAAAGCTTCAGGTGAGATTTTGTGGTACCAGACTAAAATGAGACTGGTTGGAAACAAGCTAATTATGTGCAAGGAAAGGGTCAAATCACAGGCTGCTGAGGCCAATGATAAAAAGACTGCAATAGTGAAGAAATACAGGAGCATCATGCCAAAGCCCTTTGTTGACATTCAGGGCTTGGCATCACTTAGCAGCTCTTCCTCTCTACTACTATCTCAAGTGGGAGAATCTGCCCTTAGAAATCGGATGGTAGGTGTTAGAACACATAGGTGGAAGCAGAGTGATACTTTTACAGTTGCTGGCAACGACCGTAAAATAATTTCCTTGTCTGCGAAACCACTCTATAAATGTCACATCTGTGATCATAGCTTTCAGTTTAAGCACCATCTGCAAGACCACCTAAACAGCCACAGCAACAAGAGACCCTACCACTGCCGATTATGTCGCAAGGCCTATGTGCATTCAGGCAGCCTGAGCACACATATGAAGCTTCACCACAGTGACAACCGCCTAAAAAAACTGATGTGCTGCGAGTTTTGTGCCAAGGTGTTCGGACACATCCGTGTATATTTTGGTCATCTCAAAGAAGTACACCGTGTTATCATTAGCACAGAGTCATCAGCCAAACAAATGGAGAGGAAAAGTCAAACCCACAAGAATGCAGCAAATATATTTGACGGGTAAGTTTTTTTTTTTTTTTTGTTTTTTTTTTTCATATATACATTCATTTTAGGATCTTCAAACACCTAACTTGGAAACTCAATGAAAGGCTCATGCAAACTTGAGTTGAAAGATTCCAGGGTGTAAATTTGCATTAAGTAATGGTTCTGCAAGGAGTCATGGGTTCCCAAAATAACTTTTCAAATAGCCAAGCTATTACTAGTGGTTAAAGCGACCTTAAAGCTCCCACACATTTTAATTTAAAAAACAAACATGGTAAACTTGCGTACTCTTTGCAATGGTTTTGCACAAAGCAGCCCTGATCCTCTTGGGGTCTCCCTCTGGCGGTCCAGACTTTTCCTGCTCGGCGGGTGCCCACATGGAGAACTCACGAGCCATCATGTCTGCGTCCATTGACACAGAGCAGGGGGCTCAGCCCAGCATTTCATTGACAGCAGTGGGAGCCAGGCTCCCGCTGCTATCTATCTGCCCAGTAAAGAGGGAGACAGCGGTGAGAGATGCTGCTCTTGTGCACATCACTGGATCAGATCGGGCTCAGGCAAGTAAAAGGGGGGGAACATGCACATGTGACAGTGGTTCTAATTCATCCACACCCAATCCAGTGGCAAATGCAACAAAAATTAAAGTTTTGGCTATACATGCACTTTTTATTATTATTATACAGAATTTATATAGCGCCAACAGTTTGCGCAGCGCTTTACAATATCATGTGAACATCATTCATGAGCAAAAATGATTGCCCCTGTGCATACATAATTGCAAACTGCAAAAAGACAAAAGCTTAAAATGGTAAAGCTTAACTCTGGAAACAGCCTTAAAAAAGGCAGATAGAGGGCAAATGATTGGTAGTGTCAGCTCCCTACAGTTGATCTTTGCCACATTACTGACTAATGCCTTGTACATACTATCAGATTTTTTTTTTTTTTTCTTTTCAACCCAGTGGGTGAACGAAGAAAAAACTGAAAAGCTCGGGAGGAGCTCGCTGTACTGACTGTCCAATGTTAGTACAGTGATCTCCCCCCTGAGCTATTGTGCTCTGACAGGGGGACTGCTCCACCAGAACACACCGGTCAGCCCTTGCAGCCATGCCGATCAGATGCTGGTTTTCCAGCATGCCTATTCGACAGAAGCCAACCAGGCTGGTGTCACACACGGGCCGAATGTGTGCCTGCATTCTAGGAGCCAACTGACCCTCCCATGTTGCACGAGGGTCTTAGTTTTAAAGGTGTCCTCCTTCAAAGGCAGTTTCATATGCTCAAATTCACTTCAGAGAATTGCAACCCATCATTGAGTGCAGTCTCTGGATTGGCCCATGTGCCTGTCAATGGTTTGGAAGGTACTCATGACAGATCCTATCCTATTGGGCCCTTAAAGAGTCCCAGATACCCTCTTTTGTAAGAGACTTGGCATCTTGAGGACGTTTAGCTCCAGAACAATATTCTGGAATTCAGGGCTATTTGATTCTCTCTTCCAGCACTGGACCCAGTGACTTATCTTCCATAGGTACAATGCACATGGGATCTCAGGGGGCCCTCCCACTGTGCAACATGGTAAGTATGCTGGTTCTCTGTCTTTGGGAAAGGAGCAGAACAGGTCTCACAACAATTAACCCCACGCCTGCTGGGGAAGGAGCCGAGTGGGAGCCAAACACCACAGCAGCTGGGCATCATTACTATGTAATCAGGTGGCGCTACTGATGCACCTGTTTGTTTGTTGACCGTTGTCATCTCCCAAGGCAAGAAAAAGGTGTTTCCTCTGGCCCTCTTCCCCTGCTGTTCCCTCAACCACCTCCATATCCCAAGCGCTGGATTGATCTTTGCTGCAGCTACGGGTAGTAATAGTAAAGGTGCTTGCCGGCTGTGGGGTTCGGTTCCCTCCCCAGCAACGTCATGGATCATTTTTTTTTTATTATTATTATTCAGGATTTATATTGCACCAACAGTTTGCATGGTGCTTTATAGCATGAGAGCAGACAGTACAGTTACAATACAGTTCAATACAAGAAGAATCAGAGGGCCCTTCTTGTTAGAGTTTAAAATCTAAAATCTGAATCTGCACATGCACAGTAGTCTTGGAGGTCCAGAATTTCACTGGATACTGAATATACTGCTACAGGCAAATGGTGCAGGGGAGGTGTATACTGTGGGATAGAGTCACTTACTCCTGACCCTGAACTCTGCCACTACTGATCTCTGGGTCACTACTGATCTCTGGGTCACTTCTAAACTCTGACCTACTTAACACTTTGCCACTTACTTCTGAACCCCTGCTCTCTACTTCCCTTTATGCCACAGCCAGTATCCAGCACAATGAAAACCACACCCAGTTTTTGTTACTGTGCATTTGCACACTTTTTTTTTTTCTGCAGGCTGTCGGGCCTAACCTTTCATCTTGCACACAGGCCTCACTGCTTTTGGAAAATGCCCCTGGCTGGACCTCTCACCTGACCAGGATTCCTGAAGGTCCCCGTAGAGGATAGCCTGCTTTTTGGTCCACTATTACTAGGTGGATTTGTGAGCTCATAATCCAAACTTGTGGCCTCGGGCAAGATTCCCACTCTCTTAGTCAATGTGCACTCCACTAGCACTAGATCAGTTAGTGCTTCATGGGGTTTTCAGCAGCAGCCATCTGTTTCTCATATTTGCAAGTTAGCCACCTGGTCTTCCACCCGTACCTTCAGGCCTTGGCTGATGCTGGCTTTGGTCGTAATGTTCTTCATGTGATGCTGTAGGCTTCCTTAAGCCACCCTTGATAATCGGAGACTGCGACTGAGCCTCCAGCCTGTGACTGGAAAGTGAAGGAGAACACTGGTCAGCTCATTTTTCTGTCACTCTTATCTCCTCCTATCAGCACTCTCCTTGTAGCCACATGGGCACTGCAAGCACCTGATTTTTCTCCCTCTAAACCTGAGCTCTTTTGTTCAGGTAATTGCATATGGCAAATTCCAAACCAAGATTATCATGCTGCTTTATAAAGAAAGTACATTTAATGAATACAGAGCTGCATTAATTTGTGCCTTTTATATCTGCAGGGACAGGACTCCGAATGAAGATTATGCTCTTCATGGACAAACTGATGAGATCCAGCTACAGATAAAATGTGGACGTTGTCATTTCATCACGCCTACATTTTCAGACATGAAAATCCATATGTTTTGTGCACACGGAGATGAATTTAAACAGATATTACAGGATGGCGTCCTAGAGAACAGACAAGGTGCTCAGGAGGAGGTGGTCAAGCATGCAACTCACCACTGGAAGTTGTTGAGTGAGAGGCGGAATGTGGTCAAGTGCTGTAAATGTGATGAGGAAATTTTTGGCTCCAGCAAACTGAGGAAACATGTATGTGTTTCAGACTCTACTCTTGGTGAATGTAAGGAAACTGAGATCCCTCCATCAGTGGAAGGACAGAATGAAGACCTTCCATCTGGATCTCGTACTGAAATTAAATTCAACTGTGGAAATGTTTTTAACTGCCTGTTGTGTAAACAAGTATTTGAAATTCAAAATAAGCTCTTTGAACATTGGAAGACAAAGCACAACTGTGATGATCCCTTTTTACTTTGGACAATTTTTAGTTCTTTTGCCAAAAATGATTCAAAATAGTCTTTAAGTAATTTACTTTTGTTTATGGAAAGCAGCACAAGCACTATTAATCCTAAATTCCAACTTGGTTTTGAACTGTGTTTTTTTTTTTTTTTAACCTAATGTTTCAGCTTTAATTTGTTCATTTTGAGCAGTTTGCATTAGTAAAAGGCAAAATTTACTTTTTTATGGCTTTTTATATACATCCTGAAAAATATGTTTATAGTGAGTCTGATGCCAAAATAGATCACATTGCATCAGCTGTACAAATGATTTGAACCTTTATTTCAAGAGATGCAAGTCTGACTTGTTAGTGGTAGTTACACAGACTGGTAGTCTGTTTCTATCTCGTGGCTGTACAAGCCTGAAAACTATGGGTGTTGTAGCCTCTCACCTGCTGATCTATTCTGCTACACGGTCAGTCCCCTCCTAGCCTGGTTTTGTGCCTCTCTAAGTCATGATCCATCTCACAGAAGTGTGCAACATGTCCTAATAATAGTACCATGTTCCATAGAAAGTTTCCTGTTCCAAGGTTTCTAAACATTTCAGCGCTCCTATTGCTTTCAGTGGTCCTGGACCTCTGTTTATTCTGTATCCCCTGCTTGGTGGTGCCTCCACCATCCTGTTTCTATGTTCCAAGTGCTTCAAGATATTTAGATCTGTGTTCCCAGTGCTGCAAGAAACTTTTTTGCATCTGTGTCCCAGCTAAGTCCTGTGTTTGTATTCTCCTAGCACTCCAGTGCTTCTAAAGATTCTCTTGTTCATTCTTCTGTCTTTAGTACCTCAAAAGAATCCTTAATTTTCTATGACTCCAGAATATTCCTGTAACTGATCAGTTTGCACAGGTGTATTTAAGGGATGCAACCTGGGAGCTGTCCTGCTGCAAAGCCCATCATCCCTTTCAGACGTGCTCTGGTGAATACCAGGTGCTCCTTAGAATCTGCAGCTTGAGAACACCACCATGAAGCACACAGGCTTCACAATGAATCCACAAAATGATTGTCATGCTTCAGGATTGTAGAACAGACCGAAGAGCACATCATTTTTAGGGTTGTTAGGGTTGTTTAACACAAGATACAGACATTTTTTTTTTCTGTCAAATTGAAGTCCTTAGATAAATTACTTTTGTATCCACTGCTAAACTATGGCATTAAGAAGATGGGGATAAGCAGTAAAAAAAAATAAATTTTTGGGGATCCTGAATAAGTTATGTGACCAGGTTTTTTTTTTTTTTTTTTTTTTTGTAACATCTCTAAATAGAAACAAAGCTTATTATATATGTGCTTTTGTGGTGATTATTTTCACAGTTCCTTAAATTCCCAGTAAAGAAACTTTTATGATAAGGAACTCCTAAGCTGCATGTTTCTAGAGACGGGTCTGTGTATAGTAAGCGATAGCCAGTTTCTAAATTTTCTACTGTTCCTTATGTATAGCACCAAAGCAATGTTTTAAGCTAAGATCCCCCCTTTCAATATAGTCTGCCGGTTATATAAACATTGTGAGTAATATGATTTTTGACTTGCCAGTAAAATCCCTTTCTCTGTATGAGACACTGGAACATTAGTCTTTAGCACGGGATATATGCAACTACCTTCAGGTTGAAAACTGGTAAGAAAAGAAGGCTGCAGGGTCATCCCCCTATATAACCCCTCACACTTCCAACTAGCCTCGGTTTTCTACGTCTATTTAGACTGTGTAGTGCAGTCAAAATAGATTTCTCAATCACTATCAACTTGTCTTATTCACACCCTAGCATTCTGGGAATGCGAGCAGAAACATGCATTTGTGTGTTCTGGGAAACACGGGTTGCGTTTGCAGTGCCATTATTTCTAAATGATACCCTAAATGCAGCTAGGAATCACCCAACAAAATGTACAGCAAATGCGCTATTATGTAAAGTAAACAAACGCAGCAAGGTTTGCTCACGAAAAGTTGCAGGAGCTACTTTGGCATGTTTGTCATGTAGGGCAGCCCATTTAGTTAAATGGCCTGCCCTACACTGTCACATGAAAAAAAAAAAGCACAAAAAAAACATGCTAGTGCATGTGGGACAGGTGTGAATGGGTCCTAAATCAAGATACACTATATTGCCAAAAGTATTGGGATGCCTGCCTTTACACGCACATGAACTTTAATGGCGTCCTTAGGGTTCAATATTGAGTTAGCCCACCCTTTGCAGCAATAACAGCTTCAACTTTACTGAGAAGGCTGTCCACAAGGTTTAGGAGTATTTCTATGGGAATGTTTGACCATTCTTCCAGAAGCGCATTTGTGAGGTCAGGCACTGTTGGACTAGAAAGGCCTGGCTCACAGTCTCCATTCTAATTTATCGCAAAGGTGTTCTATCGGGCTGAGGTCAGGACTCTGTGCAGGCCAGTCAAGTTCCTCCACCCCAAGCTCGCTCATCTATGTTTTCATGGACCTTGCTTTGTGCACTGGTGTGCAGTCACGTTGGAACAGAAAGGGGCCATCTCCAAACTGTTCCCCCAAAGTTGGGAGTATGAAACTGTCCAAAATGTCTTGGTATCCTGATGTCTAAAGAGTTCCCTTTGCTAGAACTAAGGGGCCAAGCCCAACCCCTGAAAAACAACACCATAATCCCCCCTCCACCAAACTTTACACTTGGCACAATACAATAAGGCAAGTACCATTCTCCTGGCAACCGCCAAACCCAGACACGTTCATTGGATTGCCAGACAGAGAAGTGCAATTAGTCACTCGACATCACATCTCCACTGCTTTAGAGTTTAGTGGTGGCATGCTTTATACCACATTATCTGACGCTTTGCATTGCACTTGGTGATGTAAGGCTTGGATGCAGCTGCTCAGCCATGGAAACCCATTCCATGAAGCTCTCTACGCACTGTTTTTGTGCTAATATGAAGGCCACACAAAGTTTGGAGGTCATTAGCTATTGACTGCAGACAGTTGGCGACTTCTGGACACTGCTCTTCAGCATGTGCTGACCCCGCTCTGTCATTTTACGTGGCCTACCACTTCGTGGCTGAGTTGCTGTTGTTCCCACTAACAGTTGACCATGGAATATTTAGTAGCAAGGAAATTTCACGGATGGACTTATTGCACAGGTGGCAACCTATCACGGTACCACGCTTGAATTCACTGAGCTCCTGAGAGTGACCCATTCTTTCAAAGATGTGTGTAGAAGAAGTCTGCATGCCTAGGTGCTTGATTTTATACACCTGTGGCCATGGAGGTGATTGGACCACCTGAATCCAATTATTTGGAGGGGTGTCCCAATACTCGAGTGGATATAGCCGTGCTTCATCAATACAAATATTACACACATTTCCAATTCTCTAAACCATCAAAATGTGCATAAAGTGATGTAATATTTTCTATGCTCCATAAACTGTGTTCCAAGTGAAAAGTCTTCTTTTCATATCCAATGTGCCACAATGATTGTAGTGCTAGATCTCCAATGTGAACAGCCAAGTGAGTTTAATTCACATGCCAAAAGTGTCAATACTAAAATGCACCTCCATCTTTGTGCTTACTCCCCACTTGACCATGCACTCACCAGAACTGCAGACCCCTTGACTTAAAAAGCAGGTCTACGGTCACTTGTTCTGCAACCTCAACAGGCTTCCCCTCTGGTTCACTCCTTCATACCGTGTATAGTAAAATCGGTAAAAAGACTCGCATCACGTAATGCCTTATATTTAAAGCTTGTTTATTTAAACATAAAAAACAAAGTATATGCACTCACATTTTAGTGTGCCCTTTCTGGCACCTCTTATGCATATTGCAATACTACCTGTGAGAACGCTACCCCACCCACTGTCACATAAAGGATGCTGGCGTGCATTCCAGATAACAGAAATGCCATATCACCCCAATGCCCCACCTAATGCATTTCATCATCCATGCACGTCATCAGCCTCAGTTTTGTAGCAAGCAACAGGGAGATCATAAGGATGGGACCTGTGTCCCGTACTATACGGCTTAGTCATACAATACAAGACAGAAAAAAAAAATCCAGATCATGGGACATCCAAAAACAGTCCACCTGTGAGGGGTCCATACTGCAAACAAACGCCAACCTGCGCAACAAATAGGTAGGTAGCTTGTAGTGCTTTATGCCTGAAACTGGCATAAGAAGAGGGCTCAACGTCCAACTGGTAGAAACTTGTGAACAGAACCATAGGTGGCTGCCTTGCAATTATGAGAACAGATGCCTGATGCTGAAAACCCTATGAAGTGCCAACAGATCTGGTAGACTGTTTTAACCGGAATAGGAGGAACCCTATCTTTTAAACAAACCTTTTCAACCTGAGTGCTGTGGCACCCTGGGGTGGCTTCTAAATTGTTCAGTTGTGCAGTGGCAAAATGCCTAAAAATTGCCCAAAACATTTTTCAACAGTGAGTGGATCAAACCTGTCTTTTTGTTACACAAAGCCATGTTAAAGTAGTTGTAAATGCTTACATATACCCAGTGAACTGACTGCCCTCAGGTGATACACAGAGATGATAGAAATCCTCCTACATAAGTTGTACCTGTTTATCTGCAGTAATCACCACATTCTTTCAAAGTGGTGAATTTGTAAAGCTTGTCAAAGTTCAGGAAAAAGGGGGCGGGGAGATGAAATTACACTCTGTAGAGCTCAGGGAGGAGAGCTCTGAGAGATGATTGGAGAGAAGAGACACACCCCACTCCACACAGCTCACAGGAACAGAGATGAGGCTGACAAACTGCTGCAGGTTCTTCCCCATCACTATTTTTCTCTTGGTGTCAGGAAAACTTGTCAAAAATGATTCACGCTGATAGCAGAAGACAGAAATGACACATAGTTCTCTTGATTGAGGCAAGTACACATTATAGAGGGATATGCTTTGTTCACATTTCACGTCTGAGGTTTACAACCATTTTGAAACCTTGGCCAGTGTGCAGGAGAGCCACTGGCATCTAAACAACCAATTATGTAATCTGTTGATAAGGAGGACATTGAGTGCCTGCACAGCATCCTTGTTTGCCCCTTCCTTCCCCCTCTTTGTCAGCACTA